GATGAGTATTATTCAACGGCCAGCAAGTCAATTGTATGTGGCAACAAATTCAAATCATTTTACATTAAAGATATACTCGGAGAAGCAGAGTCTCAGCCGCCGGATGACAGTTTAAGTTCATCAGGTTTTAAATAGTGTATATTTCAACTTTTCATGTCTTTCTTAGTGATGAAATAATGAATTTAGTCATCGGTGTATATCCTATATCCTTAATAACATTTGATTTATCAGCGCAATTATTTAGGAAGGGTTCAAATCATGTATCAAACTCAAATATGTAAGATTCATAAGGAATGATAATATCAATTGATAGATGAAAATTATCAAAATAATGCAAGTCATCTTCGTCAGAGCAGTTGAGGTTATCCTCATTTCAACAACTACCTTTCCATTTAACGCTATTAGAAGCTAAAACACGAAGCCTTCAGTCATTAAAACTTTCAATCGTTTAGATGAAAACTAAATACACGGAACAAACTGTTTATCTTCAATCTAGATAACACATAGTGTTAAAAAGTATTTAGTTTTAACAACACTTTTTATTTAAAAAATTCACTCCCTATTTATAAGCGTGTATGTATTCACGCGACTGAGTATTTAAGAACATTACAGAGGAGATATCGCGTAGAACATAATCGCTTCTTATTTTTTATTATCTGATCGTTCCATAAACGTAGTAGATATTAGGGCTGCTATACTTTCTGAATTGAAAGAAGATGAAAATGACATACTTTCTAACTCTTAAATTTATTGCCATGAGCGCGCGCCCCCACGGCCCATCCATAACACATTTTACAAATTAGAAAACTCGGGGAGGTGGGGTGGTGTCTAAATGAAAAAGCTGGTCGGGGTTAAAAAAATTTGCCAAGCAATTTTTTAGGGATAATTCCGACCTTCTTGTCTTCTATGCTGGCAAACATAACTACAATTTAAGTGTTTAGTCTTAGGGTGTGTACAGTTATATCATTATTGTGGATTTCAGTTAACTTTTCAAATGGCGGTTGCCAAGTTACTTTCTAATGTTGCCAGTTACATTTCCAAATATGGAATATTCGTTATGAACTTGTCAACTTGAGTTGACAAGTTGTGTACTTGAGTACTGAAGTTGTGAACTTGAGTACTGAAAGTTGGGAACTAAAGTTGCGAAGTACTGGCAAACGCGAAAGATCTTTGTACCCTGTAAACATTTGGCAATGAATCCGTTCAGTAAGCAAGGAAAAGCTTTAGCAATTCTAATCCGTTTGGCGGCCCTCTAAGAGTGTTATAATGCGATACGCCGTTTACATTATGTAAAAAATTTACAGTAAATGTGGCACTAGAAGAGTATCGTTGGATTTTAAATGCAGGAGTACCCTGCATACTGTGACCTTGACGTCTGTTGCCACTCGTAACAACTACAGACGACTCATCAAAGAAATGCATACGGTTGCAATCAATCAATGAAATATTTGCTACGTAAGCTTCTAACTTCTCCATAACGTCCGGCCGTTCTGTCTCTCGTGGAATTTGACCTATTATCTTGTAAGAGTAACCAAGATTTTTTTTTCGAAATTCTACTAATGGATGACCTGCTAGGTATGTTTGCTGGAAGGCAAACTTTGTTATTTTCTAGGTGTTGCTGAATCTCTTTTGCGTAAATAGATGGTTTATTAATTTTTAGATATTCAGCGTATGCAATAACGTCATCTGTACGCGTGGTTCGAACATCACGTTCGCTCTGGCGAGGTGCAATAGAACCAGTGTCTACCCATAGATCTATTATATTTGATAGAGTCTTATACGGTAGATTTAGTTGTTTAAAAATGTTTGTCAAACGCTGGTTATTTAACCAACTTTCAAGTATTTCATTTCTTACTTCTATTGGTAAAGCTTTTCCTTGCTTACTGAACGGATTCATTGCCAAATGTCTACAGGGTACAAAGACCTTTCGCGTTTGCCAGTACTTCGCAACTTTTGTTCACAACTTCAGTACTAAAGTTCCCAACTTCAGTACTCAAGTTCACAACTTCAGTACTCAAGTTCACAACTTCAGTACTCAAGTACACAACTTGTCAACTCAAGTTGACAAGTTCATAACGAATATTCCATATTTGGAAATGTAGTTGGCAACATTAGAAAGTAACTTGGCAACCGCCATTTGAAAAGTTAACTGAAATCGACAATAACTGGCCATGTTTTTTCATTCAATGTTGTGGTCATTAGTCCTTTCTGCTTGTAAAAACTATCACTTTTTTAGTCCTTCAAAAAGAGCAACAAAACTTTTACATTGTCAAACGCAACTTCTCAACTCTTCTCTGAAATGTGTAACTCTTCTCTGAAATTTTAGAAAGAGACACTTCAGCGCAAGGTTGTTCGAAGAGTCACATTCTGAACGACATGCCAGAGAATGTTTTTTCATTCTACGTGTTGCCAACGCAAAAGGAAAGAATGAGATGTACATCATACTCGAGGACAAGGACAACATATAAAAAAGAACAACTACGAGTGCTTGAAGGAAAATTCAGGAAAAAGCGTTATATTAGCATGCCTGAAAGATTGAAGATGTCCGAAGATCTAGGTGTAAGCCAAATAGCAATAAAAACTTGGTTCCAGAATAGGAGAATGAAAGAAAAAAGGCAAAACAGAGAAAACCCCGTGCAATAGTTTCTGAGTTGTAAAACTTAATTTGTTACATCATCAGATAACACACTTGTCAGTTGAAAACCAATTACTAGTATAGACTGTGATTGTTCGTTTGATTGAGGACTTTTCAGATTTGATTGTACCGTTATGACACAACACGTTAAATAAGCTAGCTATTTGGTTTTTGGGAGCGGACATGATACTTTAACGTACGATAATCTTGTATTGAAATTGTGTTATTGTTATTTAAGGGTTAAAGTTACAAATGGCTCACGTCCTTGTTGACTTATACTGAGAATAAAGTCACAAAAAAATTGAAAAATTCCTCGTTAATTGAACTGTAGCTACGCTGATTAACGATCATTCCTCTTATTTGGACACTGAAACTTTTTTAAAGTTGATTAAAATTTAATTGTTTCTGATAGCTTATATGGAACACGTTGTATCAGTGTTGTTGCATGAGAGTGTATCGCAATTTGTGATCGTGACTAAAACACCACACGAGTACATACGAGTGACATACGAGTACATACAACATAAAAACGATAGCATGTAAGGAGGCTACTATTTATATTAAGAGCGAAATTAAAAGATATTACGTTGGCGACAAGGATGACAGAAGCAGACGCCACTGTACACAGTACTATACTTTATGTACAACCGATAGCGGAATTTAACCCAGATATTGAAGTTGGTCCAAGCTTGGCAACTCGATGGAGCACATGGCTTGCCGATTTTGAAATGTTTATTATCGCGAGTGGAATTAAAGATAAAAAGCAACAACGAGCATTACTTCTCACGCATTCGTGAGATATTTCGACAGCTCAACGATACAGGCGACGACAGCGAATATGAACTTACTAAAACCAAATTAACGGAAAATTTTGAGCCTCAAAAAAATTGGCGATATGAAGTGAACAAATTTCGCGAAGTCAAACAAGAACAATCAGAAACGTTAGACCAATTTTATACGCGATTGAGGAAATTAGCTCAAACATGTGCTTTTGATGACGTTGACTTTGAGGTGGAACAACAGATAGTCATGGCGGGATCTTCTTCGCGGATACAAAAGAAAGCACTAAGAGATCCCGAGTATACACTCAGGGATATTTTGCTGGACGGCCGAAGAGATGAGCAAAGCACTTATCAAGCACGGATATCGAGTCAAAGGACAAAAATAACGACACGTTGGCCACCATCCAATCTGAATCGACGCGAAAATGTTATTATTGTGGCGGTCCATACCCACATCAAGACGTTTGCCCGGCGAAAGGAAAAACCTGCCATAAATGAGGTAACCAAAACCACATAAAAACGATAGCCTGTAAGGAGGCTACTATTGATATTTAAGAGCGAAATTAAAAGATATTACATGTACAATCAGCATTGTTTGTTATGTGCTCACCATCCTAGCCAAATGACAGCTTATTTTTGGTTGACTTTAGGATAGACTTGTAGGATCCTGCTCTAGGAAAGCATTGATTTTTTCATTAATGTTTTGAAAATTAGTGCCAGCGCGGAATTTAACCCATAAGTGAAAAGAAGAAGAGCACAATCAACTGTAATTATTACTGCATTACATATATCCTAGAAGCAGTTGCAGCTTCTGATTCTGCGATTATTCTAATTTACTTACTTGCATGAATTTTTTGACATCAGAGTATAAATCTATCAAGAATAATTAATGGTCTAATGAAACTTGATGGCGATTTTCTACCATGACCAAATTTAATAGAAAAATCTCCAAACAGAAAAGCTTACCTGTTGGTGAGCCAAGTACAGGTCAAAAAAGCTACCCGAGTCAGATGGGAAACGAGCCTTTTTTGGGGGAGGGGGGGCTGGACTGCGGAGAGTGTATTATCATTTTTCATTAAATAATCTCAAGCGGCAAGCATAACGCTATGTTTAAAAGTGACCAGAAGCACAAATAAGTACGCCATACCACTTGTATTCTCGTTAATGTCTCCTTTCATTTATTCATATAATTTCATTCCTACCATCAGGCGAAAAGCCGCTTTGTAACTGGAATTTTCTTCAAATAATTTTGCTTGACAAGTTTTTATCAATAATATTGCGTCAGCGAATTACGCATACCATGATTTCTCAATATGATTTCTCAATTGTGTTTTAATAATGAGGATACCACTATACGTCTAAGCTAGAGCGGTATTTCTTACTCTCTCTAGCGTTTGCGGCTATTACTGATAAAAAGAAATTCATTCCTTTTTACTAAGAAATACGCCACAGTCTAATTTTGATAAATGCTGTGAATTCCTTTCCACCCACACCTTTTTCATCGAAAATTAGCTTTTGAAAAGCAATTTGTTTTGTTTCCATAGTATTGGAATTCCAATCATAATCTTCCTCATTCTTGACTATTAAAGATTACGACACGATAATTCTACGACAGAGTTAGCTGATTAATTACGAAAGTTATTTTTTACTTCACTCCAGCCTTTCATTGAAAAAGATGGCCGACAAGAAGAATTATATCATCTTTGTACTGTTGTCGCTATTTATCTCCAGTTGTGCTGGCCAATCATGCTCAAGAGATAGTCAATGTCTTTTTGGAAGTTGTTGTTCTGATAGGAGATGCTCGTTTAGCTGTGTCGGAAAATTCTGTTCATCAAGCTCGGACTGCGCTTCAGGAGAATGTTGTGATTCCGATTTAGAGTGTAAATCAAGCAATTGTACGAATCTTGCTGGTTGGATTATTGCCGTCATTGTGATCAGTATTATTGTCGTTATCGCTATACCCGTTGCAATAACAATATTTTGTTGTTGTTGTGCTGCTACAGCAGCATCTTCTACACGACGTGTTCAGGGTGGCGTGATAGTTGCTGGACCGCCGGTTACAACTGGAACTACAGTCATTTCAAGCAATCATCAACAGGATCAACCATACTATATGCCACCACCGACATATTATCCTCAAACTCAAGCATACTCCAACTAGCCACCACCATATAAACCTAACGAACATTTCAATCAACCAACAGTTAGTGGAATACCATCCTAGTCACAAGCGAATTTTCAATAAATTAATGCCTGAAAACTGTTTGCCTTATCACTGTAACTTTTAGCTGTATGTGCACTTTGTCATTTTATTTTTTTTATGAACTTTTAACGTTTTAACAAAATATTTAAGTGAACTAATGTGTTATAATTTTATAAACATAACGTGTTTCAACAAGACAAAAAATAATTAAAAACGTTACTGATCCAACACTGGCTTTATTCTTTTTATTCGTGGCAATTGATCATTTGACCTGACAAACGTATTTATTATGTAGATGTATATAAAACAATATGATAAAATTAACGTTTATAGAGCTCCGGTATACAGCAACTTGAGTGATCATGGTGTCAGGATCTTATTCACTAGATACAACTGATGTTCATTTGAGTCTTGCTACGTCAATTTTATATTAACTATGGTAGCTGATATAATTTCTAGGTGTTATTTTAATTAGCTCCATTTCAGCTAGCATATTCCTCGTCAATTGTTCATTGCTGCGATAATCGCATGCTCAAATTTCTGTGTTCCTGTCTTCAACCTGTTCAAACACTTTGTCTATGTGACGTTCAGTCACTTTCCCCTTTATTAAAATTATTGTCAAGCAACATTAAAACTGTTGATCATAAAAATACAAGAAATAAACTCTTGGTCCATTTCGCTGTGCATTTTGCTTCTGTATATTAAATTAGATAGATTTTTGAAGAGTTAAACTATATTGTAGTCCATCAGGTAGTAAAGATCTAGAGAGCAATTTTCTTGTGATAAGTTTTACTTGACAAGTCTTTATTTTAGTTTTGCGTGAGTACATAGAAAATATTTTCAACATGGTTGATTTTGAACAATACATGTCTATCTGATACATTGTACTCATCAAATTCTTTGCAAGTTCATTTCCACCCACACTGTTTTTCGTAGAAAACAAGCTTTTAAAACGGAAGTTTACTTTGTTTTATGGACACTGTGCGCACCGCTTTCGAATTTCAACCATAATAATCTTCCTCATTCTTGGTTGTTAGAGATTGCAACAAAATAAATCAAGTTAACGACTCTGTTAGCTAAACGTTTAGAAAAGACTGGGAACTTATTTCTTTTTTTGTCACTCGACCCTCATCACTTTTAACGAAAAAGATGAAAGACCAGAAAAAATATATTATGTTTTTACTGTTATCGCTATGCACCTCTAGCTGCGTTGGCCAAGTATGCAAAAAGAAATAGTCAATGCTTTTTGGGGAAGTTGTTGCTCTGATGAGAGATGTTCGTTTAGCTGTGTCGGAAAATTCTGTACATCAAACTCAAACTGTGCTTCAGGAGAATGCTGTGATTCCGATTTTCGTTGTAATTTCATTTGATCCATTAAAACTACAACCTCGTCAACTCGTAGTGTGGAAAGTCGCTGTTCTGATAGCGATTGCTCTACAGGAGAATCTTGTTGCTCTTATAAAAATGCTCGTATAGTTGCTTTGGAAAAGCTTGTTCATCTAACTCAGACTGTGCTTCACGAGAATGCTGTGGGTCTGCTAACACTTGCTCATATGGTGATTGCAAAAGTTATACTCGTCTTGCTGGTTGGATTATCGCCGCCGTCATTGTGATCAGTATTATTGTCGTTATCGCTATACCCGTTGCAGTTGCAATATTTTGTTGTTGTTGTGCTGCTACTGCAGCAACATCTTATACACGAAGTGTTCAGCGTGGCGTGATAGTTGCTGGACCGGCTACAACGGGAACTACAGTTGTATCAAACAATCCACAACAATATTTCGCACATGGTCCACCTCCAATGTATTATTCTAACGAACCACCACCATATACACCAAGCGAACATTTCAATCCACCAGCAGTTATTGGAATGCCATTCCAATCACAAGAAAATCTTCAATAAGTGAATGCCCGAAACCTGTTTACCTTATCAATATGATCAGTAAGAAACCTGTTTCAAACAAACATTTCAAGCTATTTCCTATTGCAAATATTCAACCGATTCTTTCAACTGTCGCAATTGCTATCGTAACAACATTCATTTTTGTTTATTAATAATGGTAATTTATATTTATTAACAATGGTAATTTATAAAATATTCCAATAAAGAAAGTATATTGGTCATAGGCATATACGAGTTGTGAGACTGGACAGGGGGAGGGCTGAATTCCCCTCCAAAATTTCTTAATATGTCTATTTTCGGAGGAATATTTCTTTTTAGGTGGAAAGTATTTCCGTCTTTCTCATGACTTTGCTCAATAACTTTATTCCCCTGTGGTTAGTACAGTTCTTAGATACTTTTATTAACGCACTTCTCCTTCATTTCTTAGTCATCTGCCGTATTAAAGTCCTCTGTTTTAGAGGAACATGTTAAGACAAGCGTCAGTCCACGTCGACGAATCGTGAGCGATACGAATCATGGTGCATTTCCTGGACAACGTCCGGTAGGACGAACTTTTACCGCTCCAATTCTTGGAGCAAAAGTAACAACTACTAATGCTATAGAACTTGCTGGATTTGCAATCAAACCAGAGAAAATAGATCGTTCTAAATCACGGTTAGTTCGCCGCTCAGAAAAGCAGGCTATTGCTGGTACGCAGGCTCAAACGAGAAAACCCTCTTCGAGTGCATCTGACAATGTAGCACATTCATTGCTTACTATACCTGAAAAGCTCTCTTCATCTGCATACGGTAGCCCTGGTATTCGTCGAAAAACTACTGGATTAACAGTACCGGAGATTGACGAGATGAAGCGCTTATCAACAGACAGGACATTGTTAGAGCAAAATGCGTTACATATAAAAGAACTCTTGGACGAAATGAACTCAGAGCATTCTTTGAAGATGGAAAGGCAAAAGTCCGACACAATCTCTATAAGTGCACAAAAGGCAGCTAAGAAGAAAACTAGATTACGAAGACGTTCGCTTGGACAGGAAAGAGAGAACACAATGGGTCTCCCCTCGCGTGTTTCCCACGCAAATTTGTTGAACGAACGTAATGGAGAGGATACTTCAAGAAATGTTACCACTGTGGAGTGGGTAGGTGTTAGCGGTTGAGTTGTTTAAAATTTTCGTTTTGATTACTGTAAATCAAGAAAAAATCAAGAGAAAACCACGAAATACAAGATGTACTTTGAAATAGCTTCTATTATCGTGTTTTCTTATTGGATAGTTAAAAACTACAAAAATTCTGTTTATCGGAGTATTTTTGGGTTGTGTTGAATCAACATGCTCGGTGCATAAGCTAGTAAGCACATATTTTGATTGTGGTGAATTTAATTTGTTTGATTTTTAGTAAATTTTTAAATTTTGTTATATTTCGTTGTATGCATAATATGCTATTTTGGTATGTTTGCACTTTATTATATTTCTGTTAAACTAGGTGAACAATTTGAATTAGTTGTAATATTTGAAAGACTTGTATCTCCATCGTAAAATTTTTTCTTTAGACTAACCGTTCCGTGTTTAGTCTGCAGTATTAACATTTACTAATGCTTTACTGCTTATAGAAAATATTTTTCTTTGCTCTTCTTTATCTGTATCACTGTTTCTTATTCTATATAGACAGTAATCAAAGCACCATGCATGCATTTATTTACAAATGTACATCTATGATAGTCTTTTAACACCAATGTTCACAAATCTTAGAAAGATAACTATGGACACTTCACAGATAACTTTGAGCAACATAGTTGTGCCAAATTTGGTTTCCATATGAATGAAATGAAAGAGTAAATTTACTTTTGGGACGAGAGGGAAACTACTCCTATCAGCAACCGTCCTGTTTCTTTTTCACTAGCTTTATCCAATTAAGGCGCTTCTTACGTTGTTTCTTTATTAGTATCACGAGAATCGAGGAACGCTACAAAGATAACCATTTTTTATGCTTCGTTGTGTCTCCACTGAAAATCGTTTGAATTTCAGAGAAGTATGCTTGAAATCTTAAATTTTTATTCATTGACAATCTTCTCAATTAGGCGTTTTCTATCACATTGCACTCTCCATATCACTTCCAATTAAAACATTGTGTTATTTTGGCTACACTCGTAGTATAGTAAAAAGATTTTTTAATACTTTAATTTATGTTATGATTGATAAGAATTGGACAGGTGACAGGAACTATTTTTAGGGATGAACTATTTTTAGGGACTAAAACGAGCAAATATCGAAGTCAAGGAATTGCTCCAATTTTACAAAACGTGTATAAGACCCGTCTTGGAGTATGCTTGCCCAGTGTTCCACAATAGTCTGACATTGTATCTGTCAGATAACCTAGAGTCAGTCCAAAAGCGAGCATTAAAAATAATCCTGCCTCATCAAGAATATGAAAACGCTCTGCAGTTTACTAATTTACAACGCCTTAGCGAAAGGAGGAATGATATAACAACAGCGTTGTTTCAGAAGATAGTAGCAAATTCCTCACATAAGCTTCATGACCTTTTGCCTCCTCGTTTAGAACGTTCAACTATGGAACTTAGGACTCAATCTTCATTCAATACTAACTTTAATACCAAACGTTTTAGAAATAGTTTTATAACTTTTAACTCATTGAAGATGTAATTTAGTTAATTTATTTATGTATGTATTATATGTAATCTTAAACGTATTTCAGCAATATGGCTGCCAGTTTTTAAGAAATAAATCATCTATCTATCTATCTATCGATGAGAACGAGTGAAAAAAACACATAAATACGATAGCATGTAAG